CGGGGGAGGTCGGGGACCCCGCGGCGCGCGGAGCTGGGGGGCGACGCCGAGCGACGGCGGGGAGTCGAGAGGTGAGCGGGCCAGGGGCGCCCGGCGCCGCAGCGCAGGGACACGACCCCCGGACCGGGCCGCGGGTCCGGAGGCTGGGTCTGCAGAATGGGCCCAGCGGCCGTGGGAAACGGCGCCCCCTGCTGGCGACGGGCGCCCCGGGCCGGGCCGGGCCGCGCTGGGGGTCGGGGTGGGGAGCGCTGCAGCCCCTCATCCCGCATCCGGGCCCTGCGGGTCCTCCCGGGCCTGACTCAAGGCCTCGCAGGCCCGGGACCCCGCAGCCCAGGCCAGCCGGACCGTCCTCGGGGCGCGGGGGGGGGTGTCACTCCACCCTCACTCCCACTCCCCACGAAGCCGGCCGTGCAGGGGGCAGGGAAGGCGTGTGGCGGGCGGTAGAGAGGGACCGGTGAGTCAGTCTCGTCTCACTCCGCCTCGTTGTCCCCGCACCGTGGGTCCCAACGTGCAGAGCACCCCTCCCGGTGGGAGGGGGAACCCGGGGCCAGCGACCTGCGGGGGCGTCAGGCCCCTCCTTCTGCAGACCCAGCCTCCCTGTGGGGCCCGCAGCGATGCCCACCGGCCAGGTGCGAGGGAAGGTGGTGCAGGGCTCACGCTGCCACTCGGACGGAACGGGACACTATTGCTTACGGACCTGCAGGCTGGCGGCCACCCCCGCCCTGGCCGTCCCGCCCCAGCAGGGCTGCCACCCCAAAGGGGAATACGATTCTGCCAGCCCAGCACAGGCGAGGCAGGGCCATCGGCTTCCTCCGGTCTAGGGGGAAAGCATGACTTTCAAAAACTGAGACTCCTTTTCTAAAGCACGACTCCCTCTCCAGACGGCTTGCGTAAGTGGGGAAGGTCCTGGAATGGGTTTTTGCGAAGGGCAGTTTCGTCTGTGGAACCCTGGCATGGCCCTGCCCGGCTCAGCCACTGAGCCCACCGGCCCACCTCTGCCTTCCCAGGGCCTAGTCCCCAGTGTCACCTGTCCCCACCATTTAATTCTGGCCTGGACCATCAGGCCGGTCCCCTAACAGTGTGCTGCCCCCATAGGCCACCCCGAGTTCATCTTCCCACGGGCTCTGACTGGCAGGACTTGCCTCTGCCCAGAAACTCTGAGAAATTTCCCCACTGCCCCTGACACCTGCAGTCTCTGCCTGCTCAGCTGCCCTCTGGCCCCCCGACAGAGAACAGGGGTGCAGGAAGGACCTTCCTCCAGCCACCTTTCCGCCCAGCTCAGGGCCGTGTGATCCAGTGGGCGAGAGTGTGGACTGAACCAGCTGAGTGACCACTGGGACCAGGCACGGCATCACTCCCCCCTCGGGGTCAGGCTAGGTGGGCATGGAGAGCTCAGTAGCCGCTCGTGGCGGTCAGTTTATGGGACCGACCGTGAGAGCCGAAGGAAGGGCCTCCGAGATCCTAGTGATGTCTTTGAGGAAACGGTCCCAGAAAAGGGGACTGACTACCTTACGCTGGCTCTACTCCCAACACACACACACAAGTTCAGCCTGTCCTGGTGCCCTTTCCCTCTGCAGGATCGAGGACAGCCCAGGGGTGAGGGCATGGAAACCTGGCCCCTTGGGGACCTCGGGTGGGGTGCCGGTTCATGGGGGCATGGAGCTCCCCAGAGCCCTGGCTGCACATATGGACAATATCTTCCCCACTCCCTGGACTGTAGACCGCCTCTCCAGTCCCCTGGCCATGTTGCAGACCATTAATTCTGGGCTGGGTTTCTCACATTCCCAGGAGTCCTCTCACCGCCTCCCACAGCCAGGAGAGGGTGGCGATCCGGCCCACTGGCGTGTGGGGGGCTGCTCCCTCCCCCTGCCAGGCGGGTGCCCAGTGGGGCCACTGAAGGCTGCATGATACTCCAGACATGTTCAGTCCCCAGTGTAGCACTCCCCGCCTCCTAAGTGCAGACCCCCATGCCGCTCAGGACTGGGAGGGCTCATGCACGGAGCACTGCACCCTTGCTGGACCCCCATGCCACTGAGGTGGGCTCCCCATTTGGCAGATGAGGCCTGGAGGCCAGAAGGGCCGAGTCAGCTGGGCTGGGTTCCAGCTCTGCCCACTAACCCCCGTTTGTGGACTGAGATTAGGGTACAAGCATGCCTTTGCCCTACCATGGCAGGAGGACTCTGAGCCCCACCTCCACCTGGTCCAGACGCACGCCCTGTGCCCCCACCTGCCTGAGTGAAGTTTCCTGGGGCTTTAGATGCTTTCCGGGCTCACCCTGACCAAGCCCAGCAGGGCTAGGGTGCCTGGGGCCCCAAGAAAGGGTGCTGGCTTCTGTTCCCGGGCCCCGATGGCGTCGCCTTTCTGTGGTCCCTGGGTGAGCTGTCTGTGGCTGGTGAGCAGCTGGCCTCACTTGGCGAGGCGGGCTGGGGGATGGGAGAGCTGGCACCCGCCTGTGGGGCCTCTCCTGCTGGCAGGTGTCAGAGCCAAGGGGACAGTCCCCGCTGGGAGCATGGGCTTGAGGAGGGTCTGCAGAGGGACTTACAGGGTCGTGCCTTGTGCTCCAGGCCACCCTGAGGAGAAGGCCATCCCACCCGGAGACACGGGCCATGTGGGGCCCCAGGGAGCTGCTTCTGGTGTGGTTCCTGGTGCTGGCAGCGGGCGGCACCGAGCACGTCTACCGGCCTGGGTGAGCTCATCCTTGTGGCTACTGCTGAGGGTCCTTCCCACAGTGACACTGAGAAGCCCCTTCCCCAGGTCCTCAGGTCCTTTGGGTCCCAGGGCTGGGAGCCTCTGGCTGACCCACTGGCCCCCCACCTCTGCAGCCGCAGGGTGTGTGCCGTTGGGGCTCCCAGGGGCCCCGTGTCCGAGTCCTTCGTGCAGCGTGTGTACCAGCCCTTCCTCACCACCTGCGACGGGCACCGAGCCTGCAGCACCTACCGGTGAGTGCTCCCCGCCCACTGCACATGACCTCTGGGGCCCGGGAGGGCAGTTCACCCCGAGATGGGAAACTGAGGCCCAGGATGCTGAAGCCACGTCCACGTGGGTGGCAGAGACTGACACCTGTTTGAATGTGGGCAGCCCTGGTCTCAGGATGGCACGGTGGTGACCTCAAACACCAGTCCTCCAAGAGCATCTGGCACATCTGCCCCCACCCTCATTTTAGAGGGGTCCCCATCCTGTCTGCTCACCTCCACTTAAGGGTGTTAATCCCCCCTCCCCCAGCATCACTGGCTACAGTTCTGTCCAATTGTGTTGCCTGCCTCCGTCGTCCTGGTCCAGCCTTCGGGGCGCCAGTGGGCATCCCTCTCCCCTTGACGGCCCCCGTGGTCATAAATGGAGATCCCCCCTGCATATGTTTGCTTCCGCCTCTGTCAGCATGAGGGGAGTGCATCTCTGGTTCTCAGGTGTGGGGGGTGTCCTAAACAGATTTTATTTTCTGTAAGGTTCTTTAAGACCTCCCTGGCAGAGAGTGGGGTTTGGGCTGGGGACCCTGAGACACATGCCCAGTGTGGGGCAGAGCCCTTGTTCCCTGTGCTCGGGCACCTCAGCCTGAACATAAAACCTACGGAAGCGTGGTGTTTCACTAAGCCAGGGTGGCGGAGGAGGGACTGGTAACTACAGCCCTGAGTCTGAGCCCCGTCCCGCCTGCTCAGGGGAGGGGGCCTAGGTGGCTCCTGAGCTGGTGATTTGAGAAGTGTGGGTCTAGAAGAGCAAACTGGGGAGACCAGCCCGGTTCTGCCAGTGACACGCAGCAGGACTGGCAAGCCCCTTCCCTTTCACCCTAGATCCCCTGCCCCTAGAAGTGCAGGCTCGCCCGGCGTGGCACGTGTGGGTACCAGGACCACCTCTGCCCCAGGCCAGCCACAGTCGGGGCTTCCTGCCAAGTCTTGTGGTCCCACTCAACACTACAGAGCGGGGTTGGGAGGTGGCTTTTGCAGCAACCCCGAGGTGCCATCCCAGGGGGAGAGGACCTCTGGGGCACACCTGGGTAATCTTGTCCACTCTGGGAAATGTGGCTTCTGTGGGGCTTAGGACCAAGCCAGCCAGGGAGGTGGGTGGATGGGGAGGGCAGGGGTGTCTCACTTGGCATGTCTGGGGAAAGCCTGACCTGGGCCCAGGAGACCCGGTGGCACCCACTGAGGCCAGCCCATGAGGGTCGGGCCCCTCTGAGCTGCCCCTGCCCACCCCACAGGACCATCTACAGGACTGCCTACCGCCGAAGCCCTGGGCCGGCCCCCGCCAGGCCTCGCTATGCCTGCTGCCCCGGCTGGAAGAGGACCAGTGGGCTCCCCGGGGCCTGTGGAGCAGGTGAGGGTCCCACAGCACCCAGTGTGGTGAGAACAGCAGCCCAGTTAGGCAGCAGCCCGTCGCACGTGCCAGACCCCGGCAAAGCATTTGCTGCTTCTCTCTAAACCTGAGCCCAGAACCTCCTCGCCCTGGCTGCCACCCCATGGGGACCTGGGGACCCTCCTGAGTTGGTGACAGGCCTCCTCCGCCCACAGCAATATGCCAGCCACCATGCCAGAATGGAGGGAGCTGTGTCCAGCCAGGCCGCTGCCACTGCCCTGCAGGGTGGCAGGGAGATACCTGCCAGACAGGTGAGGCTGGGTCCCGCCCTCCCAGGGGGAAGGGCCTCCCTGTGTGTCCTGGGTGGCCCTCTGACGGGTTGGTCTTGAGGGGGCTCAGTGTGGCGTCGCCCCTGCTAACACCCCTTTTCCTGCAGATGTGGATGAATGCAGTGCTGGAGGGGGTGGCTGTCCCCAGCGCTGTGTCAACACTGCGGGTAGTTACTGGTGCCAGTGTCAGGAGGGACACAGCCCATCTGCGGACAGGGAGCTCTGCCTGCCCAAGAGAGGGACCCCCAGGGTGGCCCCAAAGCCCACCAGAGGTAAACTCCCCACTGGCCCTATCCTTGCTGCTGTGCCTCGGGGTACGGGCAGGGAGGGCCTGGGGTGGTGGACACCAGCCGGTAGCTCTACAGTGGGCATGGGGGGGCTGCGGGCCAGCTCTCTGACCTGGCAGAAGCGGGCTCTTCCCCACAGGAAGGACGGGCGGTGGCTTATCTAGGACACGTGGGGAGGTTGCTGGGGGCCTCATCTCAGCCAAAAGGGGACGAAGGCCCCGCCCTGGGGGTCGTGTCTGTGCCCCCGACCCAGCAGCCTGGAGATGCCGCACCTCTGCTGGTGACGGGACATTATTACTTTTGGTACGCGCTGTGACACTTCAAACTCGTACCGTGAGTAATAATGCGCCGTCGGCAGCCTGGCACCAAGAGCACAGCCTGGACCTCGGCGGGGACGCCCTCAGCATGGCGGGGACTCTGCACCAAGGGGCTGGCGGGAGTGGGGCTGGGTCTGCCCAGTCATACCCCAGGGTGTGCTGAGCTGGCGGGGCCACCTCCCGGACCTCCAGGCCTGCCCTGGTGGACACCTGGGGCCCAGAGTGGGGGGAGGGGCTTGCCACAACAGCTGGGACTTGAACCCGTCTCCAGGGCTGTGTCCCACACCTGGGGCAGAGGCTGGGAGGCCACCCCATGGCGGTAAGAGGCCAGCCTGGGGTGGGGCGTGCGGGCTGGGCCTCCCTGACTCAGCACCTGGATCTCCCCAGGAGTGGACAGTGAGGTGAAGGAGGAAGTGAAGAGGCTTCGGTCAAGAGTGGACCTGCTGGAGCAGGTGAGGCTGGGCTGGGTACCCACCCCTCCCCGCGCCGCTGTCTCCTATGGCATGGGTCTGACCCTTGCAGTGGCTGTGGGGTTCAGCAGGGGTGCCCCGGGGGGAGGCTTCCTCGATACTGATAGCCCAGGGGGCCCTTGGCCTGGGTTCTGTGTGGGGTAGGGACAGCAGATGACTAGGACCCCCAGGACAGGAGGTGCCCGGGCTCAGCCCTGCCCCCTCGGGCCACACAGCCTGAACCCAGGTCCAGCCCACCTCCTGCCTTTGTCCCTGTGGGGACAGACTGGCCTTTCCACGGGGCCATTGACCTGACGACCCCTCAGAAGCTTCAGTCCACCCCTCCTAGTTCCGCTGACCTGGGACCCCAGTCCTCAGAGAGCATGTGCTGTCCCCCTGCGCCCAACCACCCCTGGCTCTCCTGGCTCTGAAGCTCCCTCTGCTGGACTTCCAGGGCCCTACGGCTAGAGCTGGGCTAGGTTGGCAGAGCCCTTGCTGGCCACAGCGGTTTCCTTTCCTGTCATATGGAACAGAGGGTGAGGGGCTGGCCCAGGCTCACAGGCCCTGCCCCACCTGGCCCCTCTGCCTGACCCACAGAAGCTGCAGCTGGTGCTGGCGCCACTGCACAGCCTGGCCTCACAGGCGCTGGAGCACGGGCTGCCCGACCCCGGCAGCCTCCTGGCCCACTCCTTCCGGCAGCTGGAGCGCATCGACTCTCTGAGCGAGCAGGTCTCCTTCCTAGAGGAGCAGCTGGGGTCCTGTGAGTGCCGTGATCCCCACCCACAGAGCTAGCCAGACAGGCCAGAGAGGGTTGGGTTGGGGCAGCCAGACGTGAGGGGGCAGATTTGGCTGGACTGGAAGGTGGTGGGGAACAGTGACCTCTGACCTCAGCCCCCCCATCCACCTGTAGGTTCCTGCAAGAAGGAGCTGTGACTGGCCTGTCTCTTCACCCCCAAGCTCTGCCCTGCACCCCCCACCCCGCCCTCCCCACTGTGCTGGGCAGGACAGGAGGGGGGCTGTGAGCCAAGGCAGGGGACGGCGCCCCCACCTCTCCTTACTGAAGAAACAGGGTAGAGTAGGCTGAGGTGTCCTGTGAATCCAGCCCCAGCCCGGCCAGACGCCTGCACCCCCCGGGGGGCCTGGTGGGGCTGTGGCTGAGGGAAGGTACGAGAGATCCCTGCCCAGAGCCTGGGGCTGCTCCCTGGGCAACGTGTTGTTGGGGGAGCCCCACCCCGATCTTTGTCAGAATAAAATGAGACTTGAGGAGCGGCTGCATCTCTGGATAGGCTTTGGGGGCATTTGGGAGCTGACGGGGGCCTCCCCTAGGCCCACCGCCCTGTGCTGGATGGCGAGAGAGGAAGGCAGCCCCCTGGGCCCTGCTAGGTAGGGTCTTGGTCCTTACTCTCCAAAAGAGGCTGGAGCAGGTGGTTTCTGGGACGGTGATACTGGCCACAGACAGCTTCCTCCTGTAACAGGTTGACCCCATACGCAGCCAGTGGCCAAAGAGCAAATCTCCAGCCTCTTTCCCCAGGGTCTGCTGGACCCCTGGGCATGCCCACTGCCCCCATCAGGTGGACAACCCCACCCTGAAGAGAGTCGTGTAGGATGACCGTGGGCCCAGTCCCAGGAAGAGAACACAGCCAGGGGATGCTTTGTGGGGGCCCTGCATTGTGCTCCGGGGAGGAGGAGGTGCAGGGAGCCTGGAGGACCCCCATGCGCTGCCCGGGCGGTGCCACCCTCTGTCCAGGATGGAGCCTGAGGCAGCCCCACCCACCCTCTGAGTGACTGCAACTCACCAGGCACTTCCAAGAGTTCGTTTATAAAAAATAAGCAAGTGCAGTACCGATTCAGCACCCGCTCCCCAGGGCCGGCCAGGGTGCAGTCCCCGCCCCAGGGTGCAGACCACCTCTCCCTGAGACCTGATACAGGCCCATGACTGGGAGCCCGGCAGGAGGGCGGAGGGCCTCAGCTCTGGCCACTTGTCCGGGCCCCAGGCCAGCGCCTACACGTGGCTCCTGGAGGCACAGGGTGGGCGAGGCTCTGCCCTCAGAGCTTGGGGAGGCTCTGGGCTGACTCCTCTGCGGGGACATCAGGGGCCTGGATCTGAGGCCAGTGACAGAAGGGGTCCCCTGCTTCAGTGGCCTGAAGGAAAGCCGGGCTCTGGAGGAGTGGGACACTGATATTTGGCAGCCAGGTGGGGCGGGGTCCCTGTGTCCATTCTCTAGCCAGATCCTGCCCCCAAGTCCTACCCCACCCCCAAGTCCTACCCCACCCCAGGCCTTGGCTACTGGGCTGGGTGGGCACTAGGCCCAGCAGTGGCCCCGTTCTCCTGGGGCGTCTTGGACATGCGTAAGAAGGTGGTCCTCATGGCTTGGTGGCAGCTGTCCATGAGCTTGGGGACATCAGCGACGGTGAGGCCACTGGTGGGGATGGCATCCAGCACCTCGACCTTGATGGTTCCTGTTGGGGAGGTGTGGGCGTCAACATCCTGGGGGGCTTGGGGCCTCCCCGCTACTGCCTCTTGCCCCAGCTGAACCCCCTCCTCTTCCCCTCGGCCACTGCCCAGACTTCCCTGTGGAGCCCCCAGGGGCCCAGCCAGGCCGGTTTCTTTCCTGGACACTCTGGCCTGGGGTGGTTGGTTTTCGGCTGAGAAAAACTTTACACAATCACTGCAGCTCCTAAGTACACACTCAGCAGGTTTGGACAACCGTGTACGCTACAAGCACCACCCAAGAAACAGAAAGTTTCCGCCCTGAGAGAGTACCCTTGTGCCCCCAGGCAGCCCCACCCATGTTCTACTCCATCCTCCATGATGGCTTAGGTGGCACGGAGGGAGTCTTGGATGTGAGGTGACAGCTGGGCGCCTCCCCCACTGCCCTTCCACGTTGGGCTGCACCTTTCCACCTGGGTGCCAGGTGCAGGGTCTGGAGGGAAGGGCAGAGTTCCCGAGCTCTGTGGCCAGTGGGCATAGGGGTGCCTGGGAGGCTGCCGCCCCGGGAATTAGGCCCGGATGCCCTGGCTCAGAAGCCCACCCTCAGCACAGGAGGCGCCCGCCTCAAGCCCCCTGAGCTGTGCGCGTGGCCTGGACCTGGGTGTGTGGACTCGGGTACCCAGCACACCGTCTGGGAGCCTTAGTGTCATCTGGGAAATGCGCTCACTACCACTCTCCTCAGAGCCCATGGCTGAGGCTAAACTCTTTCCTTCCTTCCTCCCTTCCCCCTAATGGTCACTGGGTGCAAGACTCTGGCTTACGGTGGCCACTGGAAATGAGAACTATGATGTGTTCGGGCCCCGGTGTTCAGTGACCGAGGACGAGACAGGCTGTGTGTGCACAGGTGGTGGGGGAGCTACCTGAGGTGAAGCGCTTCGTCTTGGGGTTGTAGTAGGAAGAGAAACTGGAGTACACCACGGGGATGACCGGCACCTGTGTACAGGGAGACGCAGGCAGCCTGAGGGTGATGGAGCCCACCCCAGACCACTCGTCCCCAAGGGCGAGCTCATGTGTCTTGTCGCCCGCCTGCCCCGCTTTGGGGCAGCGTCCATGGCTGCCAGACGGACACCTGTCCTACCTCAGGGCCCTTCCACACTCTGACCCCCAGGCATGGGACACCTCATGGGTTGGATGACTCAGAGTTGCATAAACTCATGCTGCGCATCTTCACTCAAGCATCACCTCCTCCAGGAAGTCTTCCTGGCACATGTCCATCTGATCCACATCTATGTCCCCCTTTGGGTTCTAAGATTACCCAGTGGGGCAGGGCCCTGTCCCATGGAGCTAGAGAAGGTTGCTGAGGTCTCCCCATCCACGCTCCCTGCCCAACCTCTCCCCCCTCCTGGGGAGGCTGGAGGCAGCTCTAGCCAGGGGAGGGGGCAGGGCCTGCTGGTATTCCCAGAAAACACCAGGGTCAAGTCCAATGGTGACTGCAATGTTGGAAATAGTGCCTGAGGGTAATCATTAACCCTGGCAGTTAGGGAACCTCTCCCCGGGCACCGCAGAGGACTGGAGAGTTGGGGGGCGGAGAGGGGGAGGTGCTAGGAAAACAGGGAGGCTACAGTCAAGCAGGTGCGTTGCGGGGGAGGAGAGGGCATGGAGGGAAAAGGGAGGGTGATGGGAAATCATGTCTCCTGGCTGAGGCGGCTGCTGCCCCAGCCCCAGCCCCGCCATAGCTGCCTCCTCCCCCACACCACGGGCAAAGGGAAGTGACGTCAGCCCCAGGCACATGGCAGCAGCGCCCTCCAGCTCCTGGCCAGAGCGGCCACAGGCCCAGAGGGTGGGAGAGCCTTGCTTGGGCAGGGCTGGGGTTGGAGCCCAGGCTCTGGGGAGCCCCTAGCTCAGGGCTCCTCCGCCCACCTGCCGGCTCCGCCCGCACCCCAGGGGGTTAGCTGGGAGCCTGTGGCAGGCTCACCTGGCCTTGCTCTGAGCCTTGCTCGGGGCCAGGACCAGGGGTGCTAGAGGCCACCTGTCACAGGTGGAGGACAGGAAAAAAGTTGCCACCTGGACCCCAGGCCCCATTTGGGCAGGAATAAAAGCCCTTTCTTACCCCAGATGATGGTTTCCATCACAGAATCCCCCCCAGCACAGTACCTGGGTGGGACAGGGCACCTTTTACCCACCAGGAGACCCTGCCCTGTGGATGGATGCGACACCAGCCTCTCCTGGTGCCCCCCCAGGCCCCAGGACACTTCTGGGACAAATTGCACCCCTGGAGGTCAAGGACCAGAGAAGCATAAGGTTCCGCGCAGAGCTCACAGCTCGCTCCACCCGGGCCCACCTCCAGCTCTGGCCCCAGCCTGCCCCGTGCCACAGGCCCTGCTCGTCTGCACCCACTGTGCACTCCCGAATCCCGCCCCAGCCAGGGCGCTGAGGGCCTGAAGGAGCGCTCGGCACTGCCCTCCGGGGAAGTAGGGGTGTCGGACCTCCAGGTGCAGCTACACAGGGCTGAGCGCTGTTCCAGCTGGTTACAAGCCTGATGAGGCGCCAGCACTGTGCCAGGTGTCGGGCACACACGCAGCTGTCACTTAAGAGTCGGTGAAGGGGGCCAAAAGGACCTTCCTTATCAGGTCAGGGCCCAGGTGCTGGAGGGCTGGTGAGGCCCTGCCACCTGCCCAGGAGGAAGTGGTCCCGGAGCTATGGTCACTTTCAGCCTTAAGCCAACCTGGACCAGCCTCCCGCCCCCTGCTATCCCAGGAGTGGGGGGCGAGGCCATGGACTCACCTGGGCCTGGATTGCCAGGTAGAAGGCACCTTTCTTGAAAGGCAGCAGGTCCCCATTGTCATTTCGCGTGCCCTCGGGGTATATCCACACTTTGAGCTACACGGGACAGAGGAGGCCGCTGTGGTAGGCCTGCACCCCACCGCCAGGGAGGCCACCCCCCTTCTCAGCAGGCCACACTGCTAACAGTGAGGACTTCTCCGTGTGGTTTACAGACATACCCATGAAGTGTGTTTCTGCCCAGAGGAAGTTGTGCTGCGGGGCTATTTTGACCCTGCTGCCTCCCACGGAGACTGAACGGGAGTGTTGGCAGCCCCGGGCAGCCCCACTCCCCGCCAGACTCACATTCTCGCTAACCATGCGCTCGCCCACGTCAGCCATCACAGTCATGGCGGTCCTGGAACGCTGCCGATTGATGAAGATGACACCCCCTAGGTACATGATGAGGCCCACGGGCCCCATAAAGAGTAGCTCCCGCTTGGCGATCTGCACACAGCGCTGGGGGAGAATTTCCATGAGGCCTGTGGGGTTCCAAGGGGGACAAGGGCAGGGTGCAGAGAAGGAGGGAGGGAGGGATGGAGGGAGAGAAATAGAGAGAGAGAGGATGGAGGGAGAGAAATAGAGAGAGAGAGAGAGAGAGAGAGAGAGAGAGAGAGAGACAGGCCTCAGAGCCTGGAGCCACCTCCCCAGGAGGAAGGAGACCCGGCGGGCCCTGTGCCCTAACCACCAACAGGCCTGGGCTAGTCCCGCCTTCCCACTGGCTACCTGGCCAAGCCATTTGGCCTCTGAGCCTGTTTCTCACGTGGAAAGGGAGGGTGCTGAAGCAGCTCCCGGCTGGGCTGCCAGTGAGCGGAGGGCCCTGTGACGGTGTCAGGCACACACGCAGCCCAGTCACTCAGGCCTGAGGCGGGAGGGAGGCACAGGGCCCTTGCTTGGCCTGTCAGCCCCCCTCACCTGCCAGCTCGCTGGGGCCCCGCCTCCACCTCCCTGAAGCAGCACCCTTCTGCCTTCCCCTCCCCAGGGACCAGCTGGTGGCCAGGAACGGCCGGCTCTCTGCCACCCCTCGGTGTACCCACCCATCATGTCCAGGATGCTCTGGTGGTTGGAGATGATGACACAGGGGTGGTCCACTTCCAGCTTCCGGCGGCCCTTTACCTCAAAGCGAAGGCCGTAGATGTACTTGAAGGACCGGACGAACCAGCTGATGATGCTGAGGGGGGAACGACGCCAGTGAGCAGGGGCCCCGCTGCCCCTCCGCCCGTCTCAGACTGGCCTGGAGGCCTGGGAGGGGCGTCGTGATGCAGGACTGGAGGCAACACGGCACAGACCCCTGCAGCCGACGGGGCCTGCTCACCCTCTCGTGGGCTGGCGATGGGACCCCGAGCTCCCCTTCCCGTCCGGAGCCTTCAGGTCCTATCTCTCAAGGGGACAGCGAGGGCTGCCCTGCCTCCCGCCACCCCAGCCAGACAGATGAGAGCAAAGCCTCTGGGGGCAGGTGCCCAGCAAAGGGGAGAGCTGCTACTCCCACGTCTACTTTCCAGGGTCCTGCCTGTGTCGCCTGGCCCTCACCCCACACCCCTGCTCGCTCAGCCAAGTGGGGACCCAGCTGGAAGGGGCTGGAGGCTGAGAGCTCCCAGGGCCCGACTGGGTCAGTGACTGAAGGACCCAACACGGGGAGAGGTCCTTGTGCCCCTCCAGAGGGTGGCCCCCACCCACACACTCTAGGAGAGGAGACCCAGCCGGGGAAGTGACCGTCCCCTCAAGATAGTGCCACACCCAGAAGCAAGCGTTGGCACTAAGTGGGACCTCTGCAAGGAGCTGAAGGAGCTTCCGGAATGATGGTGGCGCCACCTGTGAGGGGAGTCACATGGCCAGGCACCCCGAGGCCATGCTGCTTTACTCCTCACCCTCATCCTACAGAGCAGGGCCAGCGTCCCCTTTTCGCAGAGGAGGACACGGGCCTAGGAAGGTCAAAGGACTTGCCCGGGGTCACCAGGAGAGAAGGTTGTGGAGTCAGGATGTGTGAGCCCGGGACTCTTAACTTGGAAGCCTACGGCCCTTTCAGGCCCTGCTCCCACAGGAGGCGGCCCCGAGGCACCCGTGAACTTGAGGGGCCAGTCCAAGCAGCACTCAGTGGGCATGACCAGGTGTGTCCAGGGGGCACCTGTGTCTTCTGAGCTGTAATCTCTTTGCATGTGGTTGAGTGGGTGTGGAGAACATGGAGGAAGGGCCACCTTCAGGGCCCCTGCTCTGCGGGATGCTTTGCTGACACCTGCAACCGGACAGGTGCCTTTGAGGGGTCAGTCCTCAGGGTGATGCCCAGCCACGCGAGTCTGAGGTGTGAGCTCACTGCTCATGGCTCCCTGCAGGGCCCTGGGTCCTTCCCGTCCCCTGTGGGTGGCAGGGGGCTGGGGATGTGCTAACCACCGACCCAAGGGTTCCTGGCCCAGACCTGCTGCATTTCTCCAGAAGATTCCTGTGATGGCCCCCGCCCTCCAGACCCCTTGACTTCCTCACCAGTCCTGCGGGAAGGGGCAGTTTCCCGCCCTACACAGGTTATTGAGAGCTGGCTCTCAACAGAGCAAGTCAGGGCGCTCTGATTAAAAGCCAGACTTGGGTTTTAATTGTGGGAAAATACACAGAAAATCGACCATCTTACTCATTTTTAAGTGCCAGCTCAGTGGCTTTAGGCACAGTCACACTGTTGTGCAGCCACCACCTCCATCATCTCCAGGACTTTCTCGTCTCCCAAACTGACCCTCTGTCCCCATTAAACACTCACTCCCACCCCTCCCCTCAGCCCCCACCATCTACTTCCTGTCTCTGTGACGCTGACTCCTCTAGGGACACGTATATGTGGAGCCCTATGGGATTTGTCTTTTCGTGTCTGAAAGGCTGTACCTCTCACAGCCTAACTCCTGTCCGAAGGGCAGGCAATTCTCGTTGCCTCATGCTGCAGGCGGGGAAACTGAGGCTCAGAGAGGCAGCGTGGTTAGCCCAGGGCCGCTGTCACGGTTAGGCCTGTCATCCTTCCCTGCATCTGCCAGCCAGAGGCTCCTCCTCACATGGCCAGCCTCAGCCAGCTCAGGCCTGACTTGCCCGTGTCCCGCCCCGCTCAGGGGCCGGGCCCAAGCTGCCAGCCCTGGACAGGGGCTGGGACTGCCCAGCTGTTTCGTCTCGGGAGCTTCAGCTTTCTCATCTGGAAAAGACAGACTCTCGGGTCACTGTGACGATTGGAGGCGACAAGGACAGGACCTAAGCGGTCATTTGACAAAAAGAAAAAACACAGAAGTCCAATAAACATGGAAAAAAATCCATCTCCCTAGCAATCAGAGAAATGCCAATTGAAACAAGAAACGCTTTTTTCATTCTTCAGATTGGCACAGATTAAAAACACTGGTAACCGGAGGTATCGGCTCCCAGAGATGCTGGCCGCAGTGGGAGCCACAGCAGCAGATGCGTCTGCAGGGCAGGTTGGCAGCACCCCACCAAAGCCCTTAAGAAACCTACTTCCTTTCATCTGCAGTCGCCCTCCAGGAATTACCCGAAGGCTGTTATGGGCAGCTGTGGTGACACGCAAGTGTGGTCTGAATTAGGAAAATCTGAAAACACCTAAATGCCCCCAGGAGGGACAGGTGAAGTAACTCAGGGTCCATTTCACAGCCCGATGCGGCTGAGAAAAATAGCAACGCAGCTCTGCATTTATTTACTGCAAGGAACACTCCTCAGACTTCTAATCCTGCTTCTAATGGTAACTACGCACTGCTTGCCTCTCCCTACCCTGCAGCACAGGGAACGTCTCAAGCCACACAGGAAATGGACAGGGTTGCCCCGGTAATGGGATTTGCTGGCTCCATTCTTTTCTTTTAAATTGTGGTAAAATGCACATAACATAAAATTGATCACCTTAACCATTTTTCAGTGTCCAGTTCGGCAGCACATTGAACAGCCAGCCCCACCATCCCTCTGAGGGACTTCCTCTATTGTGTTTCTTTTTGTATCATATTTAAGGGACTGATGGTACACTGTTACTGTTTCTGAACTAAGACAGATACTATGTGTCAACCTCTGGGAGTAGGACCTAAGCAGGGGCCTCTCCGAATTGTTCCCCTGCCTCTCCCTCCCCAGCAGGGAGCCCAGGCAGCCTGGCCCAGGCCACACCACCAGGACCAAAGGCTCAGGGAGGGACAGACAGGCAGCTGCAGGAGACCGAGGCTCCCATGCCAGCGTGCTCTCTACACTTTTACAAATAATTGCACTCACACACACTAAAAAATACAGCAGCCGGTGTGATTACAGTAAGCTGCGAAAGAACGGTGCATCCTGGGAGTGAGAAAAGGCAGACAGAGCCCATGCGGGCGCTCACTTTTCCTTCTCCCAATGTCCCACCCGTATTTTCAGGGTTTTCTGTAGAAGCGGTGGGGGAATATATATTATCATTTTCACAGTGTTTCCTCAAAGAGGAAGGAAGCAAACCAAGCTCTGCGGAGGCTCCTGTAATCAGCAGACATTTCCGGGAACCCACCATGTGCCACCAGGCACCCAGCACCCAGGCAAACAAAGCCAGTTGGGACCCCCCCCCCACGTCTGGTGAACACCTACTGTGCACCACCAAGCACTGCACCAAGGGCTCCATGTGCATGTGAACTATCCCATTTTGTTCAGACAATAACCCCACAAAGGGGCGGGGTGGCCAGTTAGCTCAGGTGGTGAGAGCGCAGGCTCATAACACCAAGGTTGCCGGTTTGATTCCCACATGGGCCACAGAGCTGCACCCTCCACAACTAGGTTAAAGACAACTACTTGACTTGGAGCTGATGGGTCCTGGAAAAACACACTGTTCCCCAATAAAATTAAAAAATAAAATAAAATAAAATAGAAACAACCCCACAAGGTTGGTACACTCATTATACACTCATTATGCAGATAAAGAAGTTGGGGCTCAGCAGAGTGAAGTAACTTGCCCAAGGTAACACAGCAGGGAAGCCAGGATGGGCCAGCACCCACCTCTTAACCTGGCCTTTGAAAGCCATGTGAAGAATGCCACGCAAAGGGCACACTGGAGGTGGCGTAAAGGCTCGGGGATTCAAGGGTTCAAAATTGTGAGACTCCAGAAGCTAGTTCTGAGGTCTCCCTCCCTCCCTGGGCTCTAAGCCCCCACACAACCCCCAGCAGGGCTGGGAGTGGCTCTGTCCCCCTCTCCTAGCCGGAACCTCAAAGCAACCGTCATCCCCAGGCTGCCCTGCCTGCCCAGCCCAGGCCTCATCCTGAGTGCCAGCCCTCCTTCATCCCAAAGCTTGGGGCAGGTGTCAGCGGTGCCGGCCCTGGGACACACAGCACTGGCTGCTGTCCCACACCCTCCAGCCCCCATCCTATGACCCTGCTTTCCTGGGGAGGCCAACAGGGGTGGAGCCAAGGTTACCCAAAACCCAAGTGGCCAGAGGATGGACTGGGTACCCAGCCCGGTGTTCCAGAAGCACCAGTGATGGCCCCCAGGGGGGTGACTGGTGTGAGCTTTGCACAGCACGGCAGGTGGCCCCTGGGGCAGGCCCCTTCCAGCTGCCCACAGGCGTATCCAGCTCCTCGAGCAGAGGCGACCGTGGGACCCTTCCTGGGTCTTTTTCAGGAGCCCTCCACTTAACCTCAGACCAGGACCACCGGAGCAGGAGGGAGCAGCATAAACGTCACAGATCTGTCTGGGCCAATGGGGGCCCAGGCAGGACCCTGGCAGCCAGCCTCTGTGGACCCTCTACCCGTATGCTTGGCCCCAGGACACCTGGGCCCCTCCAAGCTCTAGGTCAGACAGACCTGTATTGGGATCCTGACTCCCTTCTCACCAGCTGTGACCTTGGGCAATAAACTTGACCTCTCTGAGCTTCCATTTCAGTCTGTGAAACAGGAAGGGGGTGGAAGGATTGAGCACGATAAGAGTGGGACACCCCGTGAAACATGTGGGACCACGGGAGGCCTCCACAAACAGCAGCTGTGATGATGACGCAAGCAGAAAAGAAGAGCCCAAAGTAAACGAAAGCAGAGCCTCCCCACACTCAGCCAGCTCACTCTCCCCCCAGCTGGCACCTGCTCCAGGTAGCTGCCCGGCAGTGCAAAGCCAGGCAGGGCCATCTGCTGACCTTTGCCCTCAGCCCCTGGACTCGCTCTGGGTGGCTCCCGGGAGACCTGGGCAGCTGTTTTGGCCAAGGCATGCCAGTCCTCAGTCAGACCCCTTGGGGTTTGTCCCACAGAGCAAGGAGGTGCGGTGGGGCTGACTTGGGGCCGCCCTGCCAGGAAGGCAGCACAGATCCCACTGATCTGCTCAGGGGACGGGAGGCCCCAGGGAAGCCACCTGGCAGAGTAGGGGCATTTTCCAAGTGTCATATGAGCTGGAGCACAAGGAAGGGACAGGAGTGGGGGGTAGGGGCTTACAGCCTGTGCAGACGCCCAGAGATGCCAAGACGGATGTGCAGGAGTGGAGTGAATGCCAGGGACCTGGAAAGAAGTGGCCCCCAAGTGACAAGCTTTCCAGGGAAGCCCTCCCAGCCCTCATTAATGAGCGAGTCCCCAGGGCTGGTGGGAGCCCTGGCTTCTGGGCCTAGGACAGTCTATGTGGCCCTGCCTTCCCACCCCCAGCAGGACAAGGGTGGACTTTCCTTCAAGACCAGGGCCCCAGGCCAGCCCCCAGCCACACTGTGTCCCTATCCACGCATTGCCCCCAGGACTGCTCAGTGGCTGGCACCACTGGCTAGGAGGCTGGGCCTTCATTCTGGGTTCAAATCCTGACTGGCATTGACAGTCCCCTGGCCTGTGGTGGAAACAGTGCCCATTGTCCCCTCCTCGATGTTTACCATGAGCACGGCCCACACTGCCTCACTGCCCTGCCCCCCTTGCAGCTAAGGGCCATGCCACGCGCCTAGGTCCTGGCCACAGGACGCATGTGGTCCAGTCCCCAGAGGTCATGCCACAGCAGTGGCCTGCTGGACCCTGAGAATAGGGGGGCCATAGGCCAGAGGAGCCTGTGGCCCCAGGCTACCCAGCTCTGGTCTCCTTTGATGTATGAAAAAGCGAACTCTGCTTAAGCTCCTATTATTAGGGTTTCCTGATCCTGTAGCCAAATCTAATCCTAACACTCACAGCTTCCCTGGACTTCACTTTCCTTTCTGTCAAATGGGTGTGATAAGGGCATCTGTCTCCCAGGACAAGGAACACGGCCTGCTGCTCCCCGCTAGCCCTGCACACAGGGCACCGCCAGCCCAAGGCAGGTCCTTGGCCTCAGCTCCCCGAGCCTGGTCAGAACAGAGTCTGCCTCTGCTCTTCTGTTCCTATCACTGTTCCTGGCACACTCAGAACTCGAGTCTCAACAGCAAATGCCTCCTTGGGGGCCCACCCAGAGCCCCATGGGGAGGGACCATAGCCAAGAGGGAAAAGGGCAGAGTGGGTATGCCCCTCCCAGAGCTCAGGTCATTCCCAAAGCCTGGACTCCAGTCCTGAAACTGCCATGGCGCTGGCCCTAGCCCCTAGTGCTGGGAGGGCACAGGGGGAAAACGAAAAGCAGGCTTTATGGAGTCACCCTCGGTGGGTCTACATCCTGGTTCTGCCACGTCCTAGCTCTGGAACCCGGACAACCACCTCCTCCCCTCCCTGCTTCAGAGGCCTTAGTTTCAAATTGCTTCTCTGAACCTCGGACTCTTCGTCTGTGAAACGGAAGACAGTGATCCCTTCCAAGGCTGAGGCATCTGCGGCCCACAGTGGGTGCTCGGGAGCTGGAAGTGGCGGTCAACACAGAGCACGGCAGGCAAAACACTTCCGGGAATCAGGGGGGACTGGAGGGGAGGCAGCCAGGCACCCAGGGTGCTCAGAGGTCCTGGGACAAACTGGGCAGACATGGCCTGCCCCGGCCCAGGAGGGGCCAGAAATGAGGCGGGTAGGGAGCCTGTCTCCCACGGGCCTGTCACTCACTCTGTCCTCCTGGGTCCTGTCCCCGGACACAGAACCTCCTCTTTCTCTGCATTTCTCAGTCCCCCTACACCATATCCCTCTGGAAAGTCACCTACACGAGCACCCCACCCCTATCTTCACCCTAGCCATCGCTGGGGAGTCATCACTGTGACCCGTCCCTGTGGGATCTAGAGATGCAGGGGTGCAGGCCGTGGAACCCTGGACCCAGCCCCCAGGCCCACCTTCCTCCTGCTGTTAGGTCCTGGAGTGGGCTCCTTTACAGGATCTGAGTTTGGGGACTGCCCTGGGGAGGGGAGCAGCAGGAAGCCCCCACCCAAACACTATCAGGCCATCTGGGGTCCTGAGGGGGATGCCCTAGTGGCCAGAATCTCGGGTGAGGCTGGGGGCCCAAGTCAGGCCCTGGGCTGAGGAAAAAAGCAGAGGCCGGAAGGCCAAGGCCAGCAGGGGGCCTGCAGGGTCAAGCGTTGGTCTGGCCTGCCCACCAGGTCCAGCCACCATGTCAGAAACAGCGCTGGTGGCTCTGGACTTGACCCCTGGGAAGCAGCTTTGTTGTCCAGGGCACTCCTGGAAGAACCAGGGGGGGGGGTCTTTAAAAGACAAGGAAGCTGCTTATAAAGAGGCCACCTGATGACATGAGGGGAGGGGGGTCACCTCCAGGATCCCCTGTCACTTCCCCTGGAAACCTGCTCTGGGCCCCGCTCCCCCGCTGCACCTCACTTACACCAGGCCCAGGGTTCCCTGCTGCCTCAGAGCAAAGCATGCCAGCTCCTGGCCTGTCTTCAAGAGGGCAGCACCCCAAACCCAGCACCACCCCTTCCTGCACCTCCAGGCCCTGCCCCCCAGCAAGTGCAGGGTGGAGACTCAGGCTGGGCCCAGGGCCTTAATGTCAGGTCAGGCCTTCAGAGATGCACGAAGCCCAGGGCTCCCCCGCTCTGGGGTGGTGGGGGCCCAGCTCTGAGGAACTATTTCTGGAAACAGGCCCTGCCCTCACTGCTTGGGAAGGCTGATGATGGGAGGGCTGCGCCTGGGGCCTGTGCGCGCTCCCTGGGACGCGGGCTGGGCCGTTTTGAGTGTGGGGACCAAATCTTATTGAGTACCCATGGGCCCTCCAGTCTGAGCCATCACGCCAACTCTCGGTGCCATGTGAAGCCACAAACCCCTGAAGACTAGGCCTGGGGACCCATGCAGTATGGGTCAGTCCCAGTACATCAGCCTGCCAAGGCAAGCAGAGGTGGTGGAGAGCCAGGAACCCTCACCCACTGTCCTGTAACCACATGGGGGGCGGGGGGGCCCCTCAGGGACCACAACACCCCCACACCAGGCCACAGCCAAGGGGCCACTGCGGAAGCCACAGAGGGAAATGTTCCACAGCCCCACCTCCCATCAGAATCCAGGAGAAAGGCAAGGAGGAGCCCTCTCTTTGGCGGCCACAGCCCCCACCAGCCTTCTGACCCTGAGAGACCACAAACTGTTCTGCCCACTCCACACCCTACACGCCTCCCCAAAGCCAAGCTCCCTGGGCCTGGGAGGCTTCCAGGGGAAAATTCCAGCCACCGCCCTTTCCTTCACCTGGGCTGGAGCTGGAACCCAAGGGTCAGTTCCCACCCTCCCCAGCGTGGAGCCTCCCACCCTCCTGAGCAGAGGACGAAAGGGAAGGAGGCACCTGCTGGGGCGCCTGGGACCAGGTACATTCATCACCTGGCGGGTCGGCGGGAGGGGGGCTGGAGAGGAGAGGGACCACCGGTGCCCCGGCGCGCCCGGTGCAGGCGGGGGTGGTGCCCCCGCGGGGCCCAGCCGGCGGGCAAGCCCGGAGGCCCCGGCCTCGGTTTCCCCGCGGGGGGAAGGATTGCGCCTGTCCCAGCTCGGCCCAGCCCTGCTCCTTTCGGAAAGCCGCTGCGCCACCCGCTGCCTGGCACCCGCACCCGCACGCCCTCGGCAGGGCTCGGGGACAGCGCGGCGCCGGAGGCCCCTACCTGCTTCAATCCGTCAGCGCCCGCCCAGGCCGGGGCCTCCGGGCGACAGCGTGGGCACACACTGTGACGCCGGCTCGCGGGGACCCTCCCCCAGCCCCGCCTGCCCCCCCCCGGCGGCGCTCTCCCCCTCGCGCGCCCGCCGAGGAGCCCGGGAGAAGCGCGGGCGGGGCAGGAAGGAGGGAAAGAGAGAAGAAAGTTGGGGAAGCGGAAGCGGGCGGCCGCCGGCCCG